CAGGTCACTGAGCAGACAACTGTAAAATGGTCTATTGTATTTAGCGCGACACCCAACATTTCCTTCTGACACAATGAATTACTCTAAAAAAGAAATTCTTGGAAAAATCTTAGCATTCACAAAACTTTGACCAACTATACAGTTGCTCAAACTGCACAGAGCTTGCGCTGCTTGAATCGACGCGGGTCGATACGGTGCATTTTCTCTATATGAAGTACTAATAAAAAAAAATCCGATACGAAAGACAGGTTAAAATCAAAGCTGCAAATTTCTCCTAAAAATTACAATAGGATATCGAATCTAAATTAACACATAATCCAGATGAAATTCATCTCTTAACTTATCTGCAATAAAACGTACAGCAATCCGCAAAAACTGCTTTCCGCAAATACAACAGAGAAAGGGGAAGATCTCGTCTTTGTTTCCTCTTCTCGCTGGCGGTAATTTCGACGCCATATTTACACCACGATTTAACACAGAAAGGAATAAGCTTGGTAGATTTTCCCACAAAACATCGCCTTATTTAACCTAGAGGAATTTCAGTCAAGGGTTTCTTTCTCTTTGACAATACGTGTTCAACAATTTGTTTGTGCTTCTTCCACAACAAGTTTACATTGCCAATTAAGGGCCTTTGTAAACCATGCGTCAGTGGATCCAAACCAAACACTAAAACACCGATACCCATTTCGTCTCTCAGTGACGAAACTAAAACAACTTTTTGACCTGATTGTCTTGTCCCTATAATTATTGTTTTCCTCGTTACTTTTATGTTTTTACTCGAGTTTATTCGCAGTAGGGAGGTCATTAAGCTAATTACAGGCGGTCTTGAATTACGACATATGGGTTATTGACCAAGTGTGAGGTCAAGATGGCTCGATATTGGCCAAGTTCTTTTTTTGCGAGTTTATGGACCGAGACGGAGTCGAGGTCCATAAACTCGCAAAAAAAGAACGAGGCCAATNGAGCGGGCAAGATAGCTCCATCTTGTCCGCTCGGGTAGCCAATCACAGCGCAGGATTTGATTCATCTTGCCCGCTCGCGGAGCTAGCCATATAATAAATTACGTTATTGTCCTTTCTAATGCCAGCGATAAAAGACTAGACTTTATAAGGACTGTTTCACGTTCTTAGAATTTAATGCACTGAGCATTAATACATATAAAAATCAAGTTACGAGACGGATATCCACCATATGTTACAAAAAACAACTATTTTACCTTGGGCCGGCGGAGTCATTCGCATAGCAGCTTCTAGGCGGACAGCTAACAAAAAGTATCATTACAATATTTCGACTACATAAAAGCGAAAACTTGAAAGCTTTTAAATTATCATACCGGTTCAAATTCGTCTACGTTTCGGAAAACCAATAGAAAATGGTATAATCACTAATCATCACTAATAATTAATAAAAAAGACATAAATTGTCACTGACTTGTTCAAAGGTGTCTGTTTCAGGAGGGGCTGCAGCGGCGGGAACTGAATTAACATCTTGCACTGCAAACTGTACAGCTGAAGTGCTCAGGGAATGGTCGTTCAACTGCAGGGCAAAAACCTGCCTTGCCACATTCACGAAATCTGAAATGAAACAACCACAACATCAGGGTTTATATCTATTTGGCAATATGGCCGCCACATTAATACAAATCAACAGAGATACACAACGATATGATGAAATGCTTCGTTACGTTGACGCTACTTTTTGTTTTTGTTTTTGTTTTTGAGCTGTAGAAATTCACCATGATATCAACATAGTTACTCCAGTGTTTAAGGAGGGTTATTTACATACAAACTAGGATAAGATGTAGCTAAGTTCAAGTCTTTGTGTAAATGGTAAGAATTGACCCCTCTATTTTGGGCATGATGGAAGTGAATGTGAAATATAACGTCCTTCGGTATGCAGCATAAGTGCAGACGGAAACTAAGAAAATAAAATGGACGAAGTTCAGTTATCCGTTGAATAAGCGGGCAAGTTTCTGTTCGTTTGTAAATCACTGTTACGAAATAACGAGTATGTAACAGGTTCGGCTTGATGGATTTTAGAATTTACTTACTGGAAAGAGATCTATTGTAAAACAGGGCGACGGAACGGCACACAGTTTTGCTTAGTGCTCTAATGTGAGTTAGCTAAAGCTTTTCCATCTAAGTGAAAAAGTCGACGATTGCATGTGTCCTCTACAGTGTAAACAAACGAGTATTTAAAGATCGCTTAAATATAGAACAAGGTAGTAACACGTTTATTGTCCTTACCTCCATACGATACAAAACCGCCATGATCAACAGGCAGTCTTTGCCTGAGTTCGTGTTGCTCTTCCTCCGTCGGGTTAAATCCTAAATATCTCAAAGCCTGAATCAGAGATTGAAAAAGTATATACTCAGTCACAATAGCGACAAATCTATAACTCATGCAAACTGGAATAATTTACAACCCTTGGTGCTTTAGACAAAAAGGAGAAGCAGTTTAAACAATGTATGTTTACACAGCTGGCTTCAGAGAAGAAAATCGTAAAATTTTTTATCATTTATTTAGCAGCATTGGAACTTGAGTGTGCGTTTTTCCAATTGAAAAACTAAATACAGATTTTTGAGAAAATGGTAAGTAAAATTTTGACTAGTGCAAGATATAGCTTTTGATGGGAGATCTCGAAAAGCAAGAAACAGTTTCTTTGTAGGCTTTCGCCATCTTGAAAAGCTGTTCAATTCATGCTGTTTGTTTCACATTTGGCTGGTAAACACAAAAGACTCTGAAGCTTACTAACGCTTCTTTAGCTTGTCTTAGACCTATAACGTCATTCATGACATTTCAGCGTAAGAAAACATCAGGGCACAGGAAACATTAAAAGCCGAACCAGGTGGATTTCTTTCACTTCATTTCCAGCAGGCTGTTAGCCAGCAGATACAATAAAACAAAAATTTAGAACCAGAAAGATTGCCTGTAAAAATGCTTCATTGCCAACGTTTTTCATTGCAAATGTTGCCAAAATTACTGACACTGACACGACTCGGCTGAGAGCAGGGTTCGAAAAAAAGTGTCGTTCGGTCGTCCGTGCCAAGTGGATTTTCATGCTGGGCAAGTAAATTTTCATTCTCTCTTGTCTAATGGGCAAGGATCCAGGCAAGTCATGTGCCAACTAACGGCTAAAAAGGTAAACTAAGGTTTGCCCAGGACAAGCAGAATTTGAGAGCTACTTGTCGGGAAGGTAAGCTGGGATTCAACTTTTTTTCAAGACCTGTGAGAGAAATTTTTCTTATTGCTAATCCAACATTTTAAAATGTTTTAACCAAGTGAAGTGTCTGTAGACTTTGCTTCAATCATACCCACGTTTGCCTGGGACTAACATGTCTTGTCAACATGCTGTTGAGACCTAAACCCTATACTAAACATCACTGTCTCTGAAAGATGTATTTACAGTACAATCCAATACATAATAGTAATACAATGCTTTTGAGTTTATATCAAAGAATATCCTACGAGTCACTTGTATTTTGTCGGTATACACACGAGCCTTTGCTATTTTATACCACGCCATAGAAAATACAGTGGACAACACAATCAACGCGACATGCGGCTTTCCTTTATTCTGACTGGCTGTAATTTCTATGGCATGGTAAAAAAAAAACCAGTACAATACAGCAAATTTATTGACACTTCCCTGCGGGTAGAAATAAAAATACAAACGAGAGCCATGGACTAACCACTTCAAGTCTCTCCACCCTCAACTTGGTATGAGGATCAAGCGAAAGTCTTCGACTGCCCCTCCCATTCCGTTTTGCTCTAACACCACCAGCTGTTGTAGTCAAGAGTGACTGCTGACCATTAACAGGGCTAGGACTTGACTGCTGGCTCAGCGATGGTGAGGCGTGTTGTTGTGAGACTCGCTGGAGAGCTTCCAGATCTTGTTGTAAGTAGTATGGTACTGAGGATGGTTCAAATGCTGTTTGCACAGGGCTGATGTGCAATGATCCTAGTGACAGCTGTTGAGGTTGCGTTCCCGGGACAGTTGGCCCTGCTCCTAATGGAAGAACAAGAGATACCCAGGTTAATTTCTGTCAAGGACGATGTCTGATGTTTTCAGACCAACTGACTTAAACAACCACAGCTGTTTCTTTGGTTTCTTCAGGAGGCAACTAGGAGGAATGCAGCTACATGTACTTCCCCACCTGGGGAAGTAGCAGCGTTCAGAGTCTTCCTTACTCCGCTTACTCCTCAATAGCTAGTTTTTGCACCAGGCAAACAGAAGATGCTGGTACAGTATTTGCCAAAGAACACAATGACAGGAAAATGGTTAGTCTCGAGTTTGCAACTTCTCAATCTTCTCAATTTAAATATGAGACTTGTAGAGCCCCAGTGCAACATGTGTGAGATCAGTAACTAA